CAGCACACTGCTGGCTCATATTTAGGTGATTGTCCACTAGGACTCCGAGGTCCTTCTCACAGTTACTACTATTGAGCAAGGTGCCACCTATGCTGTACTTGTGCATTTGGTTTTTCTTGCCTAAATGTAGAACCTTGCTTTTTTCACCATTGAATTTCATTTTGTTAGATAGTGCCCAGTGTTCAAGTCTGTCCAGATCCTTCTGTATCTTAAGCCTGTCTTCTGTAGTGTTGGCTATTCCTGCCAGCTTGGTGTCGTCTGCAAATTTGATGAGTTCCCCATCTATCCCCTCATCCAAATCGTTGATGAAGATGTTGAAGAGCACTGGGCCCAGAGGATAAATAAATGTTTTCTCCCATGAGCTTACTACATTTCCTTCTCTTGCACATTATGCAGGAGATCATGAATTTATATCAGTCATTAAAAGTGTGGAATGGTTGGACTGTTCCTCATTTTCTAAATAACCTTTTAATGAGGAATCTGTTCCGCAGCCTTCCTGTCAAAACCTAACTCTTTCTCAAAGTGCCCCAGCAGAGACATTTGGCTATGTACTTGCCCATTCATTACAACAAAATTTTGCTTGGAGGAAGCATTTAATTTTCTGGCCCTGAACACATTTCCATAAGTTAAAGACCAGGTGTCCTCAAACATGGCCACTTTAAGACTTGTGGACTTTAAATCCCAGAATTCCCCAGCCAGTCTGGCTGGGGAATTCTGGGAGTTGAAGTCCACAAGTCTTAAAGTGGCCAAGTTTGAGGACCTCTGTTAAAGAATGATCAGTAGAAAGAGGTTTTATGCCTCGTGTTGAAAACTAGAGAGGATGTAAAATGAGACATAACATAGCAAAGTGTTATGGAGTGAGAGGTGAGTAGAATTACTGGTGGGAATGATTTCAGTTAAAAGTTTCTTAAACTCTTGGGCTAAGAGATTTGGCCACAAAGATGTTCAAAAGTTGTTTTTTAAAAATACAGGTCATCCTTGACCTACAACCAGTCATTTAGAATCGTTTGAAGTTACAACAGCACTGAAAAAGGGGACTTATGACCGTTTTTCACACTTAGCAACCATTTTAACATCCCCATGGCCATGGGATCAAAATTCAGATGCTTGGCAACTGGTTCATATTTATGAAAGTTGCAGTGTCCCGGGGTCACGTGATCCCCTTTTGTGACCTTCTGACAAGCAAAGTCAATGGGGAAGCCAGATTCACTTATCAACTGTGCTACTAACCTAGCAAGTGCCGTGATCCACTTAACGACTGTGACAAGAAAGGATGTAAAATGGGGCCAAACTCACTCAACAAGGGTCTCGCTTAGCAAGAGAAATTTTGGGCTCAGTTGTGGTCATACCTCAAGGACTACCTGTAGCCTGTCTTGAACAGAACCAGTCATCTTTTTTCTCTTGAAGTCTATTCTTCAAGATGGGAGGCAATGAAATGAGTTGTGCCTGCAGCAAAAGTGGGTTGCAGCACACATAATTCCCCAAGAATAACCTTTTTGAATGCTGTCTCTCAATCATCAGCTGATGATTGAGAGGATGTAAAATGAGATCATGCTCAGCAAAGATGCAGCCTGTTTCTTGGTGGGAGAGTTTGGTCAGGCCTTTGATCTGGCTTAATGTCTGCCTCAACTTGGACCTTAGGCAAGAACGATCCTTGGCTCCATTTTATGAGAAAGATATATTTTACTAAAGGTCAAGTGAAGTACAATATGGCAAAGCCAGATCTAAAGTCCGCACGCCAAATCCCCAAGCATAATTCCCCCCTTCCAGGAACGTCCTCCCCGTTGTCCTCGGTTGTCTGAATCATATTCAAACTATATATGCTGTTGGAACGATCACCCTTGGGATGCAGCTACATTTCGTCGCAGGCTGTTGTCCTTGAATTCATGTCTCTAGCCGGCACATCCAGCAGCAGAGTCCTCCTCCCCCCCCCATTCGGTTTCCCTGCCCCCCCTCCTCCGTAGTTCATGGCAGACTGGCACTGAAGCAAAATAGTAAGGCGAGTGTGAGGTGGCATTTCTGACATTGGCTTTGTATGATTCCTTGATGCTTTATAGCTCTTCATGAATATTATTGTACAAAGGGGCTTTTATCGCACAGTTGCAATAACAGACCAAATGAAGTAAAGAAACTATGCAGTTCCTTGATGCAGCATCCTATTCAATGCAGCTATGTGTGATATCCAGGATTTCAGCCTTATTTGATGTTCTTGCTTGTTTTCTTTCTGGGCAAGACTTGACTACTTTGATCCTTGTGATCATTGTCTTGTAACACTCATGTCAAACCTGCTGGCTTAAGGACAGACTCAATACAGTATCAAGGTCTGTCTTCTTTCTGCAGCTACTTAAATATTCAAACTCTTTTCTGGAACACTGCAAAACTAAGCAGAATGCTTCTGTGCCTTAAAAAACAAACACTTCTCCTCTCCATGTTCTCCATGAGTTGGGTGCACATTAGAAGAACTTCCCTATCCAAGAGACAATAGGAGAGATTTTTCATGCAAGGGGGATCTGATGCAAACTTACATGTACATGCAGCAGTTGCCTCAGGCAAATATCAGAGATCAGACCAGATCCCACACCTCTTCTGGCTTGTATTTTTAGAGCAGTGCTTCTCAACCTGGGCAGCTTGAAGTTGTGTGGACTTCTTGAGGGGAATTTTGGGAGATGAAGTTCCCACTTCTTCAAGTAAATGGCTAAAGCTTTTGTTTTCACTGATCATCAGGAAACTTTACATGATCAGTTTCATCATTATCGGGTAACATCAGACATGAATGGTAGAGTTGGTAAATCTTATACCATGGGGTTCAGACCTTCTTCTGGATTTGACCTCTGGGACTTTGCACTTTAGATAATGCAACACAATAGCTTTGGGAACTATCCAGGCCCTACTGTTCAGTTAAATAGTGTTAAGGAAAGGGTATATAGAATCTATCCGAATATACAGTATAGCACAGTCTGGACTTCTGTTTCTTTGAATTAAGAGCTTCATCACAAGAAATTATTACTGTTCTTTGTGCAATTCTTTCAGTATTAACTGGTAATATTTTAAATTGCTGGTTTTATTTTGTAACAAATCCATCCTGCCTCCATCAGTCTCACCCCTATGCATGGACCAATACTGAACCATTTTCTAAGGATTTTAATCGCTTTTGAACCTTTTGAAGTTCTAGTCTTACCTATAAACAACTTCTACCTACTCCTCCATGCCTTGAGATCACAATATGCAGTTCACTCCACTAGCTCCTATAGGTACTCCTTGACTTACGACCATAATGGAGCCTGCCAATTACAGTCGTAAGTCATGATAGTCGTAAAACTGGTCATCACATGTTGTAATTATTAAATGAATGTGGTGGTTGTTAACCAATGCCATAGTCATTAACTAAACCCATTATTTGCTTTGGGGCATTTTTGCTGAAAACTCAAAGTAAACACTTGTTTTCAGCAAAAATATAAATCTCAGTCTTCTTGATGCTGCAAACAGCTGTAAAAGTGGGCTGTTTTCTGAGTGCCTGAAATGCAATCATGGACCATGGAGAGTCCAGACATCAGAACTTCAAAACCAAGTCATAAATACCTTCTGGGGGTCCATCATAATGTCATAAGTCAAGGGCTACTGTTGAACGTATGAAGCACAGAGTACGACTTTGGGGGTGGGGGTGGAGGCACCTATACTTTAAAACTTCCTACCTAAAATCATAAGCTCCCTATGACCTCATCTACATATGTAGCAAAAAGTGTTGGTGGACTCTAGCTGCAAATCACAAGTTTTGGGAGCCCAAAGGCACAAAATGCTGAAATATTTCCCCAGTAATGTGTGTGGCCATCGGAACAGATGGTTTTGTATGGAGAGCAATTTTGCAATAATATCCCTAATGTACAACTTGGAATCCACCTTGCTAACATAACATTCTGGTTCATCCTCATTTGACATTTATAATTTCCAAGCTTTAGGTAACCAAAGTGTCCCTTATCTCAATTCATAACAGAATCTAATATTCAAAATACACAACTTATCTATTTGAATATAGTCTTGTTCTATTTCCTAAAAGTTATCTATTTCCCACCATATTAAATAATCTAATTAATAATACAGTATCCCCTTTAATAAATCAAAACCATTATATATATTGTCTGGGTTAATCAATAAATCAAACTTATTTATAATATTTTTTCTTTTGGGTCTAATTTTTAAATATTAAACAAATAAAATCCTTATTTTCAACTAGTTTCCAAATATTTTAAATTTAATGACCAAAATTCCCCTCATCTCAACTTCTCCCTTTAACCCTCTAATTAGTAATATGAAATCCCCTCTAATAAATAAAACCCCCAATTTTCTTCAGCCTTATTCTGGCCTTCTTCCTTTGCCAACTAGCCTTCCATTTCAGTGCTTTTAGATAATAAAATAGATCTCCCTCTATTATTATATATACTATTTGAAATAAGAGAGACCATTTAGTTGCAATTGTTTTGGAAGGGCTAGCCCATTTGTATTCATTAAATCATCTCCCTATTATTCCAATTCCCCATGATTGTCCTGATATGTTTATCTTCCATTTAATCTGTTCTTCTTCTTTCTCAAATTTCTTCTGATTTATATAGAAAGTCTTTTCCATTTTGAGTGTTGTCACTCCCTTTTCTGAATTTTCCATTAACTGTATTTGTTGGTCAATTGAGTCCTCTGTCTTAGTATTTGATTGTTCCACTTCTTCTGTTATCTTCTGCATTGTTAGTTCTTTGGTTGTAGTCAAAATTTGGGTTTGTGTATCTAAGCTGGCATCTTGTTCTTTTATGTTGGGTCTTATTTTGTCACAAGCCGAAAGAATGGTTTCATGGAAAGGATCTTTTCCTGGTCTTCACCTATATTCTCTTAATAATGTGTTAAGTTGAGAACTTTAAAATCAGACGTTAAAAATATTTTTTTAACTAGATATGGGACCTTTATTTCACATGTTTATAGGTAGTCTTTATAGTTGAAGTCGTTTGTCAAGTAAGATTTTATAATCCAAGATATTTCATCATCTCATATAATAACCAATGTTCCTCAAATAAAGAGATAGGAAGGCAATTCCCCACATATAACTCTGAAAGTCAGTAAAGGTACCCCAAGGATAGCCAATTTCCACAGCACCTAGCACTAGGTGCTGAAGTTCCCCAAAACAACAGCTCAAGGTTTTTTTTATCAAAAGGTGGCACCATGACCACTTGGTTATGTTATGGCCATGAGACTGAAGATCTGGTCTCAACTGGGTGGCACAAACTCTGGGATGGAAATCAAGACTTTCACAGCTTTGAAGCTACATGAAAATTTCCTCCTTTATTCAGTAAACAAGAATTAAAAAAACAAACAGGTCAGCTCAGAATGAGCTCTCACCTTCTAGACTTTTCTTAATATGAAGGAGAAATCAAGACAAGTAACCAAACTCCTCACAATAAACATTAGTCTTCTGCATTGCCACTACAAATACCTATTGGAGAACTTAATTCAGTATGTATAAATATATGCAATCCTGTCAATCATAAACTCTTTTTTTTTTTACTTTCCATCACAGGAGCGTAAATTTCCTAAATTTGTGTCCAAAGAAATGGAAAACATGTACATTGAAGAGTTGAAGTCCTCAGTCAATTTACTCATGGCAAACCTGGAAAGCATGCCAGTGTCCAAAGGGGGCTCCGAGTTCAAGTTACAAAAACTAAAACGCAGCCACAACACTTCCATCATTGACATGGGAGAAGAGAACGAAAACCAGCTCTCCAAATCAGATGTTGTGCTATCTTTCTCCCTGGAGGTAACATCTAGTTTTCATCAAATCAATAGAAGGGTGTTGTAAAAAAAACTGTTCTAAATTTGGGTAACAGCAGCTCAGTGATCAATGTCTTGGCAATCAGAACTTAAAACGGAATGCCAACTTTTTACAGTTTTGGCAATTTCTCTTTTCATTTGGGATGTAAGGAAGACAGACAGCTAACTTATCCTTGGTCCACCTGTAAACTATGAACCAAGCTACCACCATATTTAACCATACAGTATAAGGAAAGGCTGCTGGAATTGGGTATGTCTAGTTTAATGAAGAGAAAGACGAGAGGGGATATGATAGCAGTATTCCAATATCTCAGGGGCTGCCACAAAGAAGAGGGAGTCAAGCTATTTTCCAAGGCCCCTGAAGGCAGGACAAGAAGCAACAGATGGAAACTAATCAAGGAGAGAAGCAACCTAGAACTAAGGAGAAACTTCCTGACAGTCAGAACAATTAACCAGTGGAACAACCTGCCTCCAGAAGCGGTGAATGCTCCAACACTGGAAGTTTTTAAGAAGAGACTGGACAGCCATTTGTCTGAAGTGGTATAGGGTTTCCTGCCTGAGCAGGGGGTTGGACTAGATGACCTCCAAGGTCCCTTCCAACTTTATTATTATTATTATTATTATTATTATTATTATTATTATTATTATTATTATTATTATTATTATTATTATTATTATTATTATTATTATTATTATTTTATTAGATCCATTGCATGGATTTTTAATATGAAAAATAGTAGATGCTTAGCATGGTCTGGGAATATATTCAGGGAGTAATACCAAGTGTAGAGACACTGAGGAACTCACAAGAACCACAGGAAGGGCTTTTCACAGGCTGATAAGTTAGATTCTCAAGTTCTTAATTGACAGGTTGTTTCCCACTGAATCCTGGGTTTCAAGCAGGAGTTTTTCCACGCTTTCAAAGAGATGCTGGAGATTGAAGGTAGGGTCTCATGGGTAGCAAGCGGGTGTTATACTTGGGCTACAGGATGAAGAGCTGTAGCAGGGGAAGTCAGAGTCTAAGACAGGGGTAGTCAACCTTGGCTCTTTTATGACTCGTGGACTTCAATTCCCAGAATTCCTGAGCCAGCTTAGCTTAGCTGGCTCAGGAATTCTGGGAGTTGAAGTCCACGAGTCATAAAAGAGCCAAGGTTGACTACCCCTGGTCTAAGACAATGCTGGAGGTCAGCTCTTGTCTGTTCTTGCTTTTTAAGGAAAATGTTTAAATTAATTAAATATTTAATTAAATAAAGTTAATATTCCAGTGGGATAAGGAGCCTAACAGGCTCTTAAAGGGGAAGCGGTTGCCTGTTGCTCTTCCCGGTGTTTTTGGTTAATGTGAGGATTCTAATTTCAAACCACAATAACAAATCCCACAACCTTCCAATTTACCCTTGTACTCCTACATGGTAGATTTTTCGATGCTTTCCTCAAAGCATTATAACTTGTGCTTCATTCTGGAATTGATTCCTCAATAAAGAACATGCCCAAGAGTTACAGCCTCTTTATCTCTCCCTCTTCCCCTCCCCTCTCTCTCTGTCTCCCTCCCTCCCTCTCCCTCCCCCCCCCTTTCTCCTTTAGGTTGTCATCATGGAAGTTCAGGGTCTCAAATCCTTAGCACCCAACCGGATTGTATATTGCACTATGGAAGTAGAAGGAGGAGAAAAACTACAGACTGACCAGGCTGAGGCATCCAAACCAACGTAAGTGTCCATCTTCACCACCATCACATTTCCTCCTTTATTCCAGATACCTAGCTGACATATCCAAGGAGCAAGGTTCTTGGATGTCCACTAGGCCAGGGGTCCCCAACCCCTGGTTCGTGGACTGGCACCGGGCCGCAGGATGCCAGAAACCGGTCCACGCAAACAAGCAAAGCCCCATCCGTGGGATGCAGGCAGTACATGAAACCACAGCCCCTCCAGTCCAAGGAAAAACCTCTCTCCACGGAACGGTCCCTGGTGCTCAAAAGTTGGAGACCTCTGCACTGGGCAACTCAGATGACCACAGCCCTCCCCCCACTATTGCTTCCCTGGGGGTGTCAACTGGTGCCAGACTTGGATATCCACTGGACATATTTATTCATTATTTATTAAGAAAAATTATATGGCTGCCCAATTCACTCACTACAACTTTGTTGGTGGAAATACATTGGAATAAGTGAAGAGTGGCACCCTCGGCTGGATTCATACCTTGGAGTAACTATAACAAAATTTATTTAGTTTCTCTTAGCATATCAATTAACCAACCACCATAATATCTAACCCATTTAGATAAGATTATTAATTACCTTTTATTTAAAAAAAAACCATTAATCTTGGGGGGGGAAGGAAAAACTGGCATGTCACTTGCAGTTCTGTCAAAAAAAGAAAATATAAAATCAAGATCACTGAACTCATTTTTTTTAAATACGCCTGTCTAAGGGGCAAGTGATTAAAGAGATATTTACACAGTTTTGACTATCATGCTAAAAATATATCCTACACACTCTTAATTCTGAATGAACAAATCACAAACTGCCATCTTGTCATTATGAAAGAAAGCCGAGTGATTGAGCTGGGTTCACACATCACGCTAAGCCTAGTTTATTTAACTGATAGATTGCTGAATAAATCACAGTGGCTGATTCACAAAACACCATAAGCTATAAACCATGTTTATAAACCAGACTTGCTGGCCTCCTACAATTTATTAAGCTATAAAGCAGGATTTATAAAGCTCAGTGAGCGAGTTCATTCAGAATACTATACCACACCTAAACATGCTTATTGTATAGCTTAACAAAATGTGCACATCCATCTTAAGTGTGCTGTAACTATTTTGATCTAGAAATAACTACTCCAAACTTCGGTCAATTTTATTTATAGCCAAAAGGCCAAAAACAAGATATCAATGCAATCTAAACTTGGATTGTGTTAGATGTAACAATTTAACAAGTAAAATGTTTAATAAATACTACATAATACACTTAAAACCCCAACCTACTGATAGGTTACTAAAAACCTTGGTTTTATAACCACAGCTAAACATTTAAATTGAAAAAAAGTATTGTATTGTATTGTGAATGTTATAAGAGTCTTTGGCAAGAAGTTACTTGGCCTATTTTAAAATCTAAACAAGAAAGCAATACATCTGAGTATGTAAAAATTTTATTTGCAGATGAAAATCCTAAGATTACAGCAGCAACAGTTAAATGTTTAACTGTGGCTATAAATAAGTACAATCCTGCTTAAATCTTACAGCCAATCCAGTTTGCCATAAACACAATAAGTATTGGTTCTAGCCTAGTCATTTTCTTCAATTTCAGTGTCAGATTTTGTTGCTCTTCACCCCCACACATTAACATAATGGAGTAAAGAATAATTTTGGAGTCTTCAGATAAATCCCAGTTATAAATTCTCCTGCACACCAATAATCTGTCTAGGCATGAGTTAGTAGGGCAGCTCCTAGTGCATTTTGCTCCACTGAAATGTGAAAATGTGTGAAATATAAGGTTGACCATAAGTCCCTATTCTATTAAAGTCTATTCTGAGGAAAAAATAATTCAATAATTATATGTCTTGCAACAAGAAAGGTTCCGTGTTCTTGTGCTGACATTCAGTCTGTCTGATATATTATTGTGCAACATTCCTGATTTGGTTTTAAATGTAAAATTAAGTCATATGTATTCTTGGCAGGATTTTAGTTAATTATTTGAATGGGAAATGTTCAAATATGCCAGTTTAATAGATTCAGTAATTGTATGTTGTGTAAAGACATTTTGCTTTAACTGAATTCTACAAATCAGATTTCAGATAAAATTGTCCTCTGCTCCCAAATCAGTTAAATTTGTCTGGTATTGTTATGAGAAATAGGAGGAAAGAGATTCAATTGGATCACATTTTAAGGTGAACTTTCTAATTCAGTCTTCCATCTGCAATGAAAATCAATTATTCTTTTAATATTTGGACTCTTAAAATTTTGGTTATGTAGTCTTCTAATTAAATATATATAGAGAGAAAGTGAATATTGGTGAAAAATAATAGACAATAGATGATAGAATAGGAAAAAATGCATATATTACAATAATTCATATACAATTGTATATATAAGGAGATAAGAATATGATAATCTGTACAGATTTCCATTCAGTTTCATATATTTGAGCCAAACTTCCATTTATAAACAATGGAGTGAAATCTAATACGGCAATTTGGTCCATCCCTAATCTGGCACAATGTGTTTCATGGTTAAGTCTCTGGACACATTTTATTCATTAAATATTCAGGAAGTTCAGGAGTTTGTATAATTTGTGTATGTGTGGGTGTGTATGTGATTTATTGCAAGTCCTGCTTTCCCAAATTTACCTTGGACTGTGCAAAAGGCAGTGTGCCATCTAATACAATCTAGGATTACCGTACATCTGAGTCCCCTTCCCCCTTCCATGCATCCTCTTTTCAATCCTTAAGTGCTCCATCTGCCAGGGAATTCAAAGTATCATAAAACATCTGGGTTTCTGCAGAATGAAAAGGCATGATAGTGGGGTCTCTCCTGTTACTCAGAAGGTCTCTTTGTGAGCAACAGACAGGCTGAAAAAGGCAGATCAAGGCTAGAAGCTTCAAAGGGAGACTGGCATGGTTGATTAGCACTCCATTCATTTCATATCTTCCAGAGAGAATATAGAGATTTCTTTGGGAATTGGAAGTAGAATGTTTCATAAGAATTTTGATTCTGAAATGCAGCTAAGCCCTGTTACCTCCCATTCTTTGTTTGGAGCATATAAAGAATGCTTGCTGGAATTGAGTAGGTCTAGTTTAATGAAAAGAAGGATGAGGGGTGACATGAAAGCAGTATTCCAATATCTCAGGGGTTGCCACAAAGAAGAGGGAGGTCAAAGTATCCTCCAAAGCACCTGAAGGCAGGACAAGAAGCAATGGATGGAAACTAATCAAGGAGAGAAGCAACCTAAAACTAAGGAGAAACTTCCTGACAGTCAGAGCAATTAATCATCTGGTCAAAGGATTTCTCTTGTCAAAGTAGGTAGAATTGTTCTATCCATAACCTAACTTTTAGGCAACACCTTTCTTTTTCTTTCCTTTTTCATAATTGTTGTGATTATTCATTTTGAAATTAATACGTTAGGGCTGTTCAGGATATACAGGTAGTCCTTCACTTACAGCCATTTGTCTAGCCACTGTTCAAAGTTACGACAGCACTGAAAAAAATCACTTAAGACTAGTCCTCACACCTACAACCCTCAACCCTGTAGTCGCATAATCAAAATTCGGGCACTTGGCAATTGGCACGTATTTATAACCGTTGCAGTGTCTTGGGGTCTCCTGATCTCTATTTGTGACTTTCCCAGCTGGTTTCTGACAAACAAAATCAATGGGGGAAGTTGGATTCATTTAAGAACCACATGATTCACTTAACAAACAGGGTAATTCATTTAACCGTACTAAAAAAGGTCATAAAATTAGCTGTCCCTTAACATCCACCTTGCTTAGTAATAAGTCATAAATCAAGGACAATCTACAGTTCTTGATTTGGGCTTAGGGAAAAACGATTTCCACAATGTCAAATACTGCTTCCACTTCGGGAGACATTTTCTTTATTATCTGGATTATTTTTTTTGTTTGAGCTTTAGAGCAAAAAAAAAAAATCCAATTACATTGGCTTTTGCTTGTTATATAGATTTTTTATTTGCTTCACTTTAGGGTCTTCCCTTAGCTTCGGTTCCTAATAACTGGTTCCACTGGATCTATTCCTTCATAGCACATGAAAGGGAAAGAATATAAGCCAGGCAGTGGTGGGATTCAGCCAGTTCGCACCAGTTCGGTAGAACTGGTAGCTAATTTTTAGTTGCCCAGGCCCAGAATGGACTTCCAGAAGTGGGATCCATACAAAGAACCGGTTGTTCACATATTTGAATCCCACCACTGAAGCCAGGGGAAGAGGAAAGAGAAGTAACAATGAAAAAATAAGCAAATGTTATGCAGCATATGAAGTAGGCTCATGCACCCTGCATTTAAAAGTGCCCTCCTTTAACTATTTCAAACCATTCAATAATGCAAGTCTTAACACAATCCCTGTCTGTAGATCAAAAATCCTTCAAGACCTCTGAATTTAATATAGTAGTATAGGCTTTCACAACCACAGTCAATCAAGCAGCAAAGGCCTTTCAGGCTGTATCGCTTGGTCTGTATTTTCCTGCTGTCCTGATGTTTCACAGGTATTGTTGCTGGCATTTTTGGAGGCAGTGTGTGTTTCATAATGTACTTTTTGGCAACTGGACAGGGACTGACTGTGCTTTTGTACTTGTATCTGGCAAGCCGCTTCTATAGAATCACCCGGCAAGGCTGATAAAAGACTTCCTTGCTCGTCTTGTTCTTGGAACAGGTGAAAGGATTCACTCATCATCCCAAACCATATAACCATGCTCTCTTCTTCTTCATACTGGATATGCAGAATTCAAAGGATGACTTCTGTTCTGTTCTTCATTTTTAAACTTCATTTCTAAATCTCAGCCTTGCTTTCTTGCCCTGGAGGTAAAAAAAAAAAGGAGAACCAGAATTCCCTAGGTAGCTAACCCTAAAGGAAAAGTAGGGATAACAGTCTACTTCCAGCCCACAGTTCTATTGCCTCCAAATAACTGGGTTGAATAGCAGTGTTGTATGTTACCTTTTCTCATCTTTTCTTTTTGTATGCAAAAGGTTCCAAAGTAGAAC